ATGAAACCTGAAACCTGGCCTCCTGGCAGCTGTGTCAATCGTTTTTTTCATCGGATACTAAAGAAGACCGCGTTGCCTTAGAGGTAGAAGGCTATTTGAACATTCTGTCAATCAACATCCAATCACTGAGGGCTAAACTAGCGGAATTTGAGGCAGCAGTAGCAGACGATGACTTCTCCCTCCTTACCCTTTGTGAACATTGGTTGATGGCAGTAGAAGCTGACCAACTACGTAACTGAGTCTTATTTTTCCAGAAACTCAACGAAACATGGGGGCACAATGATTATGAGGAACGCTGAGGTTTCTTGCACTCGTCTCCAAAATCTCGAACAACTCTCAATTGAGAAACATGGTGAGACATCTGGTATTTATATGAATAACCTAGAAATTTATGTGATAAATGTCTATAGATCACCCTCTGGAGATCTGAACAAATTTTTGAGTACTTTAGAAAAAGTTTTTGGTATAATTAACACATTAAAGAACAACATAATATTGACTGGCGACTTTAATGTAAAATTTGACGAAGAAGACCTCTTAAAAGACTGTTTATTAGATTTTATGAGAACTAATGGGTTTTTTTCACTTAGTCGAATTTCCAACTAGAAATAACAACTGTCTGGATAACGTTTTTACAAATCTAGATCACGCACTTTTTCAAATTAGTCCATGGAATTTACACCTATCAGATCATAGAGGCATCAAAATTAAAGTGTTAATTTCGTCTACTAAAAACAAACAAAAAACACAGCTTATTAAACATAGGCCAAATACTGCTCTTGGTAAATTCAAATTGTACGAGTCGGTGTCCAATATCAACTGGGACTTCATTAAGCTATGCAGTAATAATTCAGTTGACGACTTGTTCACAAAATTTGTAAATCTAATAGAAGGTCATGTAGGGCAAGCCTTCCCTCTAAAAGTAGTCAAGCATCAACCTAACAACAACAAAACTGTAAAGTGGTTTGATAGTGAATTAATTCAAATGCGGGAAACATTACATTTATCTGATATAAATAATCTAATTGGGAGTGAACAAACCAAGTCAGCAAAAAACTCGTTTAGGAAAGTAAGGAGCGTTCATTTTATTAAACGGACACCTTTAAAGTAACGCCACTTTTCTAATTTTTAATCTAAATTATTCTAGTTTTTATATATGAAAGCTTTAAGTTGTATCTATTAAATGCCATTTTTGTTTTCAAAATAACGTTATTTCTTTTTAAAATGAAGCGAATCGCCATTGGGGCAAGAAAATTATCTTTGCAAAAGTGATGCTACGAAAAATTTCCGTTGGGGGGACTGCCTAAAATAACTAAATGTTCAAAATCAGCAGTGTTCCAAATAATCAAAAAGTTTGGGGAGTTTAATACTTTAGAAGATTTGCTCAAATCCAGACCGAGAAAAGGCCCGCTTAACGAAAATATTGAGGAAAATATCATTAAACTGCTAAAATTAACGAAATGTATGTTTGTGCGGGAAATACCGAAGAGCAAGGTGTTACCGTAGGTACTGTACAAAATATAAAGACTCGGAATAACATTAGAACGTATTAAAGCAAAAAATCCCAAAAAGAAGCGAAAAGTAGCGCATAAAGTTTCAAAAAAAAAGCAGGAAGTTATAAACAATTTTGGTCAGGAACAAAAATCGTTGTGTTTTGATGGACAAAGAAACGAAGGTTAAAATGGACTGCAATACACTACCCGGCTCCCAATTTTATAATGCAGTCGTAGGGGAAGATGTCCTCGATGACATGAAAACAAAAAAAAATTGAAAAGTTTGGGAAAAAAGTCTTAGTGTGGCAACCGATTTGTTCTTGTGGGCTAAAAAGTTTTAGTTTTTTTTTACGATTGGAACAATTCGGGGCGATGATTACAGGAAAGAATGTATAAAAACGCGATTATCGCCTGTTTATTGCAAACATCATAACCCTCCATTGTTTTGGCCAGATTTGGCTTCGGTTCACTACGCTGGTGCCACTCAGGAGCTTCTTAATGCCAATAATGTAGTTTTTAAAAAAGGAAGATAAACCACCCAACTGTCCTGAGCTTCGTCCACTTGAGCGATAATGGGCAAATATGAAATTAGTGTTAAGAAAAGATGGCCGAACAACATCATGACTTGGAGAATTTAAAAAAATGTGGCCTCCTGCTACGAAGAAAATCACAAACAAACCTGTGCAAACAGTGATTCGCGGTATTCGCGCAATAGTTAGAAAATTTTATAGTTTCTGAATATAATTGATTAGAGAATAAGAATAATTATTTCATTTAACATTGTTAAACATTTTTATAACAAAAAAAATTAAATTAGCCCAAAGTACTCGAATTAGTAGCAGTTTTTCAGTGTCCGCTTTATAAAATGAACATTCCTTATATCGTGACAAAATAAATGAAAAGAAAATGCTTTGTAATGAAAAATTCATCTCTACTGCAAGTAATAAGGTCAAGGCTATGTGGAAAATTATTAACGAAACTCGCAATAAAAGTGTTAATAGTCAAAAATTAAGCTGTGATATGACCTGTGACGATTTTAACAACTATTTTATAAATGAAATTTCAAAATTGGGAACGCAAAGCAATAATGACTGTGATATTGAACTCTGTGATATAGCAAGTAAGTCTACTCACTCCTTGATTAATAGCCCTAGTTTCAGTTTTAAAGAAGTGTCACACATAAAAGTGAGAGAAGCTATAGATAACTTGAAAAATAGTAATTCTTCTGATATCTTTAATCTTAATGTGAAAATTGTCAAAAATATAAAGGACTTGCTGATACCTCCACTTGCAAAACTTATTAACTTTTGCATAAAATATTGCGTCTTTCCCAAATGTCTTAAAACAGCGGTCACTGTACCAGAATACAAAAAGGGTGATACTAATAATCCATCTAACTATCGATCTATCTCATTACTTCCCATATTTGGCAAAATATTAGAGAAAATTCTATTTGAACAACTTTGTACTTATCTTGAATCACATGCTTTATTTTCTGACTCACAATATGGTTTTAGGAGAAACCGTTCCACTGGTAATGCTGTTCAGGAGTTAGTTAATTTTATATCTCAGTGCTTTGAAGATCGTAAAATTGCAGTTGCGTCTTTTCTGGACCTGTCCAAAGCCTTCTCGCATAAACTTCTCCTCAAAAAACTGACAGCCTATAACTTGGTACCGTCTAGCAATCAACTTATTAGATCATATCTGGAAGATAGACACCAGGTTGTCAAATATAAGGAACAATTATCCGATTGTCTTCCTGTCAGAAAAGGTGTGCCACAATGGTCCATCCTGGGGCCCCTCTTATTCATTATTTTTATTAACGACCTATCTTCTAGTATAGACTCAAAAATTATCTTGTATGCAGACGATACAACCCTAATAAACCAAGCAACATCGACGGAGACTATCTGCGTCAAAAGGGAGGAGACGCAATCGAGGGCTGAGGATTGGTTCAGACAAAACGACCTCAGCTTGAACGCAAATAAAACTACCACTATGTTATTTTCTTTAAAAAATAGCGATGTTCCACCCGATTTCACCACTTCAGCATAATTCCTTGGGATACATTTGGATGCAAAACTAACCTGGAAAGTTCACGGCGACGAGCTGGCCAATAGAATTAGCAAAAACTTATTTGTGTTAAGGAGTCTTAAAAATAAAGTATCATATCAAGTCCGCAGAACAGCATATTTTGCCTTATGTGAATCGCATCTAAGATACTGTATCCTAACATGGGGTTATGCCAGCATCTGTAATCGCATATTTAGGCTCCAAAGAAGAGCAATAAGAATTCCTGCTGGCATAGGTTATAGGGATGATTGCCGCTCATATTTTACGTCCTTAAGAATATTAACCCTACCGTCAATATATATATTAAATTCACTGCTACATCTTAAACTTAACATCAATAATCATATGAGACACAAAGATATTCACTCGTATAATACACGTCACAACGCTGCACTTCTTCCAAATTTTGTAAGGTTAAAAAGAAACCAGTCATTCAATTATTACTCTGTCAAATTTTACAATAAATTATCAGAAAGTACTCAAAATCTTGGTATAAAGCAATTTAAGAGACAAATATTTGACTTGATTTTAAAGTTATAAAAATCCATATGTATGTAATGTGCCTTGTATTGAATTTGTGACTTGTACAACGACTTTTGTTATATGTACTAATAAACATTATTATTATTATTATTATTATTAATCATAAATAGTTTTAAAGAAAACTGAAATACGTGTGTAAAATATAGGATTATTGTAATAATATTTTATCCAAAGTTCTAAGAAGTGTTCTTTGATTTGTAATATGATTATGTTTTTAATGCTTTTTTGCTTAAAATAAAACTTTTTATTGAAAATGTTGTGCTTATTTAAGCGCTTATTCTTAATTTTTTTGTGCTTATAAATCCGCTCTCTAGTCATCAGTTTGAACATTTAATTTAATCTTATCATGTCATGCCAAATTTCGATTTTTTATGTTTTAAAATGGCCCGTCCATCAGCTTTTACATCTGCGTCCAACGTCTTTGAACCAAGAAAAAATCAACTGCATCCACACGCCCAGCGTGCATAAAATCAGCACAGCACAAGCCCCACCAACAATCACCTGTTCGAAGCCTTGACACCTCTCTCACACAAATCGCCCCTATTACCCGATTTCTGGGCCGCACAGAGTAAATTGCATCGAAAACTGCCAAGGTCTGTCGTTAAATTGCACCGAAAATCGGTCTCGTTACGCGCCCAAAATTTTCACAATCGAACCAGTTCGAGAGCGTGTAGGCTTCCGATCTAGTTTTCCCTGCCAAAATTTCGTCGTTACAGATAAATCGGCGGCGCAGCCATCGGAAGGTCGATGATCCGCGATCCGCCACTAAGGACAATGTTAAGGCCACCGCTCCCTTTTTACGCGGTTAATTATTGGCGGCGATTTGCATTTATGCTAATCCGGAAAGAGAAATATTTAATAAATACGAAAGGGTAATGGATGCGAACGCACCTAGCCACGAGCTCTCCTCGGAGTCGGCGTGGATCCCGTGGGAGGAGTGCAGCTGGGGGATGAGGATGGCGCTGTAGCCTTGGCAGATCCCGATGGAGATGGAGACGGAGTGGGCGCAGAAGGCGGCGAGGGCCTGGAAAGAAGAGTGAAGACATCGTTAGAGCTTAAGGTCATTATTTTGTAACGTCAAATTTTTGAGCAAAAATAAATTTTGAAAAATGGGTAGGTACAACTTTTTGTTATTTGTAATGAAGACCTTTGGAATGATCAGTTTTTGTTGAATTTTTTGCCTTTAGAATCGTTGTCTGATTTAAGGCTCGGATTATATCCATATGCAAATAGTTACTTTGAATAGCTAATAAAATAAATGACATTTTTAATTATATATTGTTAAAGGTCTTGTAACCTTTACTTGCAATAAGAGAATTTAAATTATAACTAATTTAAGTATGAAGAAAATGCTGTCTACACACTATTTGTATTGTGCTATAATTTTTATTAAACCAATTGAGTATTGAATGTTTTTCAAAAATTTTAAATTCTCTATTATATCCCCACATAGTACAACAGGTTATGGAGGTAATGGTAAATTTGGCAATGCATTTCGATAAAATTGTACTCGAAAAGGTGATTTAACAAAAAAAAATTTACATTATTGACTAAATTATTCAATATTAATCAATAAGATAAGATGTTAATAAATTAAAGGAATTGTTTGAAATTGGAACTAATAAAACTAATAAAACTGATAAATTCAAAAATATAATATATATATAATCTTGTTGCTGAAATAAGTCTACACATATTAAGAAAAAACGGCAAAATGTTGCCCCGCCCACCCGCCCTATTTCAATTGTGCAGATTTTTTTATTCGTCGTGAGCCAAAGGGGCGAAGCTTAATTGCAAAATCCATATTTTCTTACAAAAATTTACCACTTTAAACGTGTTTTAAGTGTCTGAAAATAAAAAAAAATCATCGCAATTGAGACGGGGTGGTTGAGAGGGGTTTATATTTTATCTTTTTTTCTTAATATACATAATATTCTTCGAACGACACGATACTTAAAAACAAGTTTTTAATTTCTTGTAAAGAAATAAGTATTTTACAGTTACACTCCGTTCCCTTGGTTCACGGCGAATAAAAAAAATCATCACAATCGAGATGGGGCGGGTGGGCGGGCTTACATTTTGTCTTTTTGTTTTAATACGTGTAAATTTCTTTTTACTACATGAAATTTAAAACATGTTAAAATGGAAAATTTGTATAAGGAAATATCTATTTTCTATTAGGCTCCGCACAATAATTGCAAAATCCATATTTCCTTGCAAAAACTATTTCAACCATGTGTTAAGTTTCTTGTTATGAAAAGATGGCCATGTTTATTAAGAAAAACAGGCGAAATTTAAGCCCCGCCCACCCACCCTATCTCAATTCTAATGATTTTTTATTCGTCGTGAGCCAAGAGGGCGGAGCTTAACTGCAAAATATTTATTTCTTTACAAGAAATAAAAAACATGTTTTTGAGTATCGTGTTATTCAAACAATACAATCACAATTGAGATAGGGAGGGTGGGCGGGCTTACTTTTTGCCTTTTTGTTTTAATATGTTTAGATTTATTTTCACACCATGAAATTTAAAACATGTTTAAAATGGAAAATTTGTAAAAGGAAATATTGATTTTCTGATTAGGCTCCATATTTCCTTGTAAAAATGTATCATTTTAACCATGTTCTAAATTTCTTGTTGTGAAAAGATGGCTATGTATATTATGAAAAAAAAAATACAAAATATAAAGCCGGCCCACCCGCCCTGTTTCAATTCTGATCATTTTTTTATTCGTCGTGAACCGAGGGTCGGAGCTCAACCGTAAAATCCTTTTTTTTTCCTACGAGAAATTATCATGTGAAATAAATTCTTAAGTAATAATATTACACAAATAGAACTAAATGTATTAATTAAAAAAGAAGACCAAAGTGGAAGCTCCACCCATCCGTCTCGATCTCAGTCGTGATGAATTTTTCATTCGTTGTTAGACCGAGGGGCGGAGCGCAATTACAAAATGGATATTTCCCTATACAATTTTACCATTTTAGACATGTTTTAAGTTTCGTTTCTTGTTGTTGAAATAAGTCTACGCATATTAAGAAAAAACGACAAAATGTAGCCCCGCCCACCCGCCCTATCTCAATTGTGAAGATTTTTTTATTCGTCGTGAGCCAAGGGGACGAAACTTAATTGCAAAATCCAAATTTCCTTATAAAAATGTACCATTTGAAACGTCTTTTTTGTTTCTAAGAATAAAAAAATCATCACAATTGAGATGGGGCGGGTGGGCGGGGTTAATATTTTGTTTTTTTTTTTTTGCTTAACGTACACAGTATTCTTTGAACAACACGATACTCGAAACATGTTTTTAATCATCATTATTTTACATTTTGCCTTTTTGTTTTAATATCTGTAGATTTCTTTACACAATATGAAATTTAAAACATGTTTAAAATGGAAAATTTGTATAAGGAAATATCTATTTTGTATTAGGCTCCGTCCAATAATTGCAAAATCCGTATTTCCTTGCAAAAACTATTTCAACCATGTGTTAAGTTTCTTGTTATGATAAGATGGCTATGTATATTAAGAAAAAACAAGCAAAATATAAGCCCCGCCCACCGCCCTGTCTCTATTCTGATGTTTTTTTTTGTTTGCCATGAACCAAGAGGGCGGAGCTTAATTGCAAAATATTTATTTCTTTACAAGAAATAAAAAACAGGTTTTTGAGTATCGTGTTGTTCAAACAATACAATGTATATTAAGAAAAAATTGAAGCCAATGATTGAAAGATTTATAATAAAAAAATATATCACAATTGAGATGGGGAGGGTGGGCGGGGCTCATATTTTGCCTTTTTTGCTTAACGTACATAGTATTCGTTAAAACAGCATTATACTCCATGTTTTTAATTTCTTGTAAAGAAATAATTATTTGATAATTAAACTCCGCCCCCTTGGTTCAGGGCGAATAAAAAGAATCATCACAATTGAGATAGGGCGGGTGGGCGGGCTTACATTTTTCCTTTTTGTTTTAATATGTGCAGACTTCTTTTCACACCATGAAATTTAAAACATGTTTAAAATGGAAAATTTGTATAAGGAAATATTGATTTTACAATTAGGCTCCGCCCTATAATTCAGAATTCCATATTTCCTTGCATGTTCTAAATTTGTTGTTGTGAAAAGGTGGCTATTTATATTAAAAAAGGCAAAATATAAATACCGCCCACACGCCTTGTCTCAATTCTGATCATTTCTTTATTCGTCGTGAGCCGAGGGGCGGAACTTAACCGACAAATCCTTTTTTTTTTCTACGGGAAATTATCATGTGAAATAAGTTCTTAAGTAATAGTGTTACACGAAGAAAACTAAATGTATTAGTTATAAAAGAAGACCAAAATGGAAGCCCCACCCATCCGTCTCCATATCAATCGTGATGAATTTTTCATTCGTTGTCAGACTGAAGGGCGGAGCGCAATTGCAAAGTGGATATTTCCTTATACAAATTTATCATTTTAAACCTGTTTTAAGTTTCTAAGAATAAAAAAATCATCACAATTGGGATAGAATGGGTGGGTGGGGTTTATATTTTACCTTTTTTTTAATATACATAGTATTCTTTGAACGACACGATACTCACAAACAAGTTTTTAGTTTCTTGTAAAGAAATAAGTATTTTACAGTTAAACTCCGCCCCCTTGGTTCATAGGGAAAATCGATTTTGCAATAGGCTCCGCCCAATAATTGCAAAATCCATATTTCCTTGCAAAAATCATTTTAATTGTGTGTTAAGTTTCTTGTTATGAAAAGATGGCTATGTATATTAAGAAAAAACAGGCATAATATAAAACCCGCCCACCCGCCCTATCTCTATTCTGATGATTTTTTTTATTCGTCGTAAGCCGAGGGGCGGAGTTTAATTGTAAAATCCTTACTTTTATACGACAAATCACCACGTGAAATATGTTCTTAAGTAATCGTGTTATACAAAGAAAACTAAATCTATTAATTAAAAAAAAAATCAAAAAAAAAGAGAAGCTCCATCTATTCGTTTCGATCACAATCGAGATGAATGTTTCATTCGTTGTCAGACCGAGGGGCGGACCGCAATTGCAAAATGGATATTTCCCTATGCAAATTTACCATTTTAGACATGTTTTAAGTTTCTTGTTGTCGAAATAAGTCTACACATATTAAGAAAAAAATGAAAAAATATAAGCCCCGCCCACCCGCCCTATTTCAATTGTGATGATTTTTTTATTCGTCGTGAGCAAAGGGGGCGGAGCTTAATTGCAAAATCTATATATACTTACAAAAATTTACCTATTAAACGTGTTTTAAGTTTCTAGAATAAAAAAATAATCACAATTGAGATGGGGTGGGTGGGCGGGGTTCGTATTTTGCCTTTTTTGCTGAACGTACATAGCATTCTTTGAAACATACGATATTCAAAAACATGTTATTAATTTCTTGTAAAGAAAAAAATGTTTTACAGTTAAACTCCGCCCCCTTGGTTCACGGCGAATAAAAAAAATCATCACAATTGAGGTAGGGTGGGTGGGCGGGCTTACATTTTGCCTTTTTGTTTTAATAATATGTGTAGACTTCTTTTCATAACATGAAACTTAAAACATGTTAAAAATGAAAAATTTGTGTAAGGAAATATCGAGTTTGCAATTAGGCTCTGCCCAATAATTGCAAAATCCATTTTAACCATGTGTTAAGTTTCTTGTTGTGAAAAGATGGCTATGTATATTAAGAATAAAAAGGCAAAATGTAGCCCCACCCACCCGCCCTATCTCAATTCTGATGACTTTTTTATTCGTCGTGAGCCAAGGGGGTGGAGCTTAATTGCAAAATCCTTGTTTCTCTACAAGAAATACATGGGGTGGGTGGGCGGGGTTTTTATTTTTCCTTGTTTTCTTCAAAATTTGTATGAGGAAATATCAATTTTGCAATTATGCTCCGCCTCTTAATTGCAAAATACACATTTACTTGCAAAAATGTACCCTTTTAACCATGTTCTAAATTTCGTGTTGTGAAAAGATGGCTATTATCAAAACATTGAAAAATGGAGTAAGTGA